AGGCACATGCTTGGGAAAAGAAAGTTTAAGTGAAGGATGCAGTCGTTAATAACTGTGAATTTTAAAATAATACTCAAAATATACCAGATCGCTATCAAGTTTTGCTTGTGCACAGCTCTCTCCGGGATCCTCTTGGCCTTTTCTCAAATAAATGCTTGGCTTCCTTGAACCCTGCACAGAAAATTTACAGTTTGTCACCATGTTTAACCCATTAGCAAATCACCTTGTTACACTCTGCCTGCGTTGCTGTGCTACGGTACATTGTTATTGCCATTTGGAGAACACCTCCCCATGTCTTTAATACCTCGAAGGAATCATCATCCTTCCTTCAGGAGAGGTGTTCTGGAATTATATATATTCTTCATTGCTTTCAAATTTATATTAGAGACAATTATATGGGATTCAAGCTCTGAAATAACAGGGAAGCACAACTAATTTAAAACAATCTAAATTTTAAAGAGAACACAAATTAGAGTTTTCATTTTCTGGCTCAAAGTGGATATTTATGACAGACACTTCAAAGTTGGAAATGAATAAATAATATTTTAGCTTTGCAAACATGTGTACTGATAATTTTCTCTTGTTCACAGGATGTTAAAACTTTTAATCTGATGCTACTTTAGTAGGTTTAAATTTTCTCTGTCATTGTGAAAAATACATTGTTATATTGTGAAAAATACATTGTTAAATAGGCAAGATGGTACTGGTATGAATAATGTCTGTGTTCAAGTTATGAGCCAAGAACTACTCTCCTCTCTTTTCCTTGTCTAGAATATGTCATGTGATACCAATAGATGATAAGTTAGTAAAAATTAATAAATTAAAATTAAATAATTTAAAATTAGTTAACTTTTGTTATTAAGTTTTGGGAATAAATTTATTACATATTTTTGCTTTTGCTTGGGCAGTCATTGAGTATTAGGTTACTGCCTAGGAAGATATGTATATAACACTCAAGGAAGATGGCCCAATCTCATTCAGGTTTTATGTATGACGATTGGCAAGCGGTCACCAAAGGTCAAGCTCTGGTTTCAAATTCTTGCTTCCATCCCTACAAACCAATACGAGTTGCTTTATTGAAATTAGCAATACAAATGAGGATAGGCAATAGACGCATGTGATAGAGTCCAGAAATATATAATCAACTGTGGTTTGTTCATTTGTTGTCAAAGCTGCCAGGATGACTCAGTGGAGGAAAGGAGCCCTTTCTAACACATGACAGTGGGAGATAGGGTGTGCTCACGGGTAAAAACAGATACCACCTCTCTACTTTTACCGCTCAAAAATAACTCACAGAGCTACTAGAGCCAAAACTAGAAAGTTCCTGGAAGGAAGCACAGGGAAATATTTTTGAGTTGTTGATATTTGCAAAATATCATCCGCAAAAACAGAACTGAAAGGATGGAAATGTGAAAGTATAATAAATGATACTTCTACATTAGAAACTATTGCTCTTCGGAATTAAGGTAACTGAAAGACAAGTAGCAGAGTGAAAAGAAGTATATTTGAGATTTATATCTAGGAAGAATCTGTTGTGTATATCTGTATGCGAGCGCACTACAATGTAAGTTTTAAAGAGAACAAATCTTTGAGTAGATTTCGGACAACAAAAAGCATCTAGTCAGTAGGGCACAGGAAACACTACCGAATGTTCCTGGCTGTTTGGCCTTGGCAAGCTGCCAACAGATGGGGTTGGAGAAATGACTATTCTTGCAAAGGATCCGTGTTCAAAGCCGTGTTCAACGGCTTACAACTATATGTAACTCCAGTCTCATGATCCCAACATCCTCTTTTGGCTTCTTTGGACACATAGTATACAGGCATACATGCAGGAAAAACACCTTTACACATAAAAATAAATAAGAAATTTTTCTTGTACAATTTTTTTTTGAGGAAGAGTTTCTCTCTGTAACAGCTCTGTTTGCTCTGGAACTCACTCTGTAGACCAGGTTTGCATCGAACTCACATAAATCCCACTGCTTCTGCCTCCTGAATGCTGGGATTAAAGGAGTGCTCCATAGAGTTTCTCTACAAATCCCTGACTTCCCTGGAACCCACTCTGCAGACCAAGCTGACCTCAAATTCAGAGATTGCCTGCCTCCCAAGGACTGGGATTAAAGGTGTGCGCCACCACCGCCCAGTAATTTTTATAAAAGAATAATGCAAACAGGAACCACAGAGTTACTAGACATACGTACTGTAATGCCTAAAGCTAAAATGGTGTCAATTGAGTGTTAATAAGAATGTGGGGAATCTTCATAGTGGGAACGTGAAATGTTACAGTCTCTCCAAAGACTTGTTAGCACTTGTGGTAATTTCGCACAGGTTACATATGGTATAAAAATGAAATTCCATATCCACAAAAAGCCACATGCAGATAGATATCTGTGGTAGCTTTACTCATAATAATGAAAATTGGAAGCATAATTACATGCCAGCAGGAGCAAATATGAAAAGTTACAGCGTATTCTTACATAGAGGGTTGACTCAATACAGACACACTCTCAAGACACGTGAGTCCTCTCAAAACACAGGGTGCTGAAAATGTTGGATACAAAAGAGTATGTGCTAAATTATTCCATACATGTGACACGCTAGGGTGGGCAGTGCTGATCTGTAATGACAGAGCTTGGTGTGAAGGTGAATACATATTGAAGTGACCTATATGGTGAATACTCATGCCAACCCCTTTGCTGGCATCTGTCCAACTTATCAGTAAGGCTACCCAAGAAGTGTGTATCTGGTGGCTTGTGGATCATTAAAGATAAGAAAAATATTTAAATGGGCAAAGGTGTGGATAGGCAATTAAAAAGAGACAGACAAAGAAGTCAATGGCAAATTCAAATTGTTTCTATGCAAAGAGACCATCCCATACTCGATTAAAGGTAACCATTCACCTTGAACCTACTAATTTCATTCCTAGATCTAAGTCAAGATAAATAAAAACATAACTGCCAGAAAGTCTGTGCACATGTTTAGAGTGCACATGGGAGGGGGATCAGGCAGCATTTGTCTTTCTGTGCCTGGGTTCTTTCACTTAGCCTAGTGTCCTTCATGTTCTCTCTACTCCCTCAAGCAGGAATTTCTTTGTCTTTAAAAGTAAACAATGTTCTGTTATAGAGACCATATACCACATTCTACGTACGTACTGTGGTTTCTTTGTCCGTTCATCGCTGATGGACTTTTAGGTGTCCTTTCTTGACTCTAGAATGAGGCTGCGGTACAGCACACTGATTTCATTTCCTGTGACCATATATCAGAAATGAGATTGCTGGATCACAGGGAGGTTTTATTTTTATTTTCATTGGCATATCTGTACACTTTCCCATAACAGGGCTTTGAGTTTACAATCTCACAAACAGCGTGTCCCTAAGTGTCCCCTTTCCACCACATCTTTGCCAGCACTTCTTTTTAAAAAATCATTCTGACACGACATTCTAATACATGGGAGGTGACTTTGACTTATATTTCCTTGATGATTAGGGATGTTTAGCATTTTTTCCCCTTAAGCCTGTTAGTCATTTGAGTAGAGTGGTAGTTACCAGCAACTGGAGCCTGGGAGTAAAGTTAAGATAACAGTTAAAGCTTTGATCCAGATTGCTGAGTTTAATTATTGGAGACCTAGTCTCAACCATACTGATGGAAGACGACGCTTCAGTATATCTCCGAAATGCACAAAGACAGAGAATCACAAGCATTCCTTCTACCAAAAAAGAACAACGCAAACAAGGCCCCTGTCGGATGTGATGAACACTGGTGAAGGGCGCTTTCATTTGGTCGGACCTGGCAATCACTTCCTGTTGCGTACTTCATGAAAACACCTCCTGATAGTCCCTAAAGGCATGGATATTTTATCAGATGAATCTCAGTGACGCCGGAAGACTTAAAGAGTGAAATTGCAGCAGAGAGGAGACTTGTACAGGAGTGTTTACAGCTGCTTGGTTACAGCAGGTCCAAACTGGAAAGAAACCAAACACCAGCTGGTAGATTAGCTAAACAAACGTGCGACAAGCATGGCGTTATGCTCGCCCATCAAAGAACTGACCAGCAGCACAGAACATTCCAGAAACATTCTCCACCTCTAGAGGAGGCAGAAGCTGGAGCACTCATTGCATTACTACAGACACACAGAGTTCATGGGGGTTCATCACTCTCTGGTGACAGAAGCCAGCACCATGGAGGGAAGGCAGGCTGGAAAGACATAAGGACAGTTTCTGTCACAATGAAAATGCCCCTGCCTTGGTTGGGAGGATTTCTGTGTGACTGTATTCTATTAAATTAGTTGAATTTAGGAATTTATCTTTTAGACTTCAGCTTTGATTATATTTTACTCAAGTTGATTTTTTTAAAAAAAATCTAATTCATCTGAGTAATTGAACCCATTATCACTGTTTTTTTATTGCGGATAAGCTGGTCGATAAATTTAATACGGCATTAGTGCTACAAGCTTACTTTACTTTGAATAAAATTATTAGACTGTGTCTCTAAATGAAATATGGTTATCTTTAAATTATTGCAGCATTTAATAATAATAAGTAGATAATAATAATAGTAAAATATTATTTTGAGAAGTATCATTATTATCAGGACTAATTTCTATTTTAATTTCTCTTCTCTCACAAAGGAATATTTACTGTACACTGAAAAAGATACTGTGGAGGAAATCAAGGTAATAACTGATGACTGAATGAGAGTAAGGCTTGAGACTGAGACACTCTGAGACAAGAACGTTGTATTCTAAAAGGCTTACCTTCTAGCGCCTGTCCCCCTCTCGATGTTGGGCCTTTACTGTGGCATTCCAACCGCCTCTGAGGATCCAGGGAGGATGGTGTTAGAGCTGGGAACTCCAAGACTCACATTTCCCTTATGGGACTGAGAGTTAGAAGGCACGGCTGCTGCATAAAAGGCACCCAACTTCCGTTGCCTGGATATATCCTGGCAACCTGTCAACAGAAGGGACAGGACAGGCTCTCTAGCAACTGCTCAGTAGACTCCAAAACAAGGGGTGAAGGAAGCAGGAGTAGACTGGACCTTCGCTTTCTCTGGGAACTAGACCAAGGTACTGAGCACCAGGAAGCCGAGGGAGATGAGCTTGCCACAGGTTTTCATGTGGAAGTATAACTTATTCTTTGTCAAAGTAAAGGTTTACTTGTTATACTACTGATCCTTTTATCTAGACATTAGAAAGAGTTTTTCTTATATATAAAATAGTCCCCACCCACCAAACACAATGTTCTGTCTGTTTTTTAAAAGGAGTTCTCTGCCTTGATGTCCTAGAAGGTTATACCTAATTTATTTTTCTAATATGTCCTAAAGTATATTCTAAATCACATTAAAAACTTAAGCTCAACATTTTTATTTTTATTTTATTTTAATTTTTTTAGGCAGGGTTTCTTTGTGAAGCCCTAGCTGTCCTGGAACTGGCTCCGAGGACCAGGCTGACCTCAAACTCAGAGATCCACTTGCCTTTGCCTCCTGAGTGCTGGGGTCAAAGGGATGTGCCTCCACAGCTCAGTTTCAACATTTAGAAATACATATGAAGTAATGATCTAAAATGTGTTTTCATGTATAAAAGAACTTAGAGATATTAAGGTAACGGCAGTACCCTTCTACTGGAATGTTCTTCATGCATAAAATTTGAGAGTCGAAAGAGCTTATAATTATGGGAAGGTACACCTCTATGGCTAGGGGGACAATCTACAAACATCAGAGTAGAAACTCAATAAATTCTGCACATGCATACTGTATGTGTATGTGCAAGCAGGTGTATGCATGTGCATGTTTAAGACACACCAAGGCGTTTATCCTTATTACCCATTTTGGTAAGACATAGGGATATATTATTAATGTTTCCTAGTAATAAACAGTAATAAACATACTGTTATTTTGCCTTGAAGATAACTGGAGTGTGTATGTGTCTTAGTTTGCTTTTAGTTACTAGAATAAAATTCTGACCCAAGCTCATTTGGGGAGAAAGGAGCTACAGCCCATTATCAAGGGAAACCTGGGCATAAACTCAAGGAAGGAACCTGGCAGCGGGAACCGAAGTAGAGATGGTGGAGGAAAGCTGTTTGTCGTCTAGAACAGCCTCATATAATCCGAGCCCACCAGCCCAAAGATGGCACTGCCCACAGTGGACTGGGCCCTCTACTTCAGTCACCAGTTAGGAAAAACCTCACAGGCATGGGCTCAGGTCAGTCTGGTGGGGGCCATGCTTCGGGTGAGGTTCCCTCTTCCCGGGTGTGTCAGATTGACAAGACTAACCAGAGGAGTTAGTAATCTGTGGGACTGTTCATTCTCTGGGGGTCACTGCAAACGCCACACATAAAGATCCCATTGGACCACGAAGTCCTTCGTAATAATTTGTGATAATGCTGTGAAAATGAATAGTGACATCGTTCACGGACATTTAAGGATGTTAGCAGCACTGGAGCGTTTCTAATTTGGATACATTTCTTGTAGTCACCTAGATGCTCAGGCCTAATGTGACATAGGAGCGGCTAAGATGTCAATGACTCACGGTGGAGGCAAGGAGACATAGCCTTACATCTGCCTTTTAATTAGTTCACAGGTCTCTAGTTAGGTTTCTCACATTACACAGCGTGCCGATGTTGGCCCTGTTGGGAGCTAAAGGCTGTCTCTCAGTGCCTTTACAAATACTGAGTTCCACGACGGTCGTCTGTTGGGCCCAGGTGACAGAATGGCAGGAAATATGAGGTTAGGGCACCAGGACACACCACAAGAGCTTGCATTTCCACTTCTGCATCTGGACTGGACAGGCTGCTCTCAGGGAACTGGGAATGACAGGCTGGAGTAGCTAGCTGTTAGCTGGATGCTCAGGGTCCACCCTTTCCCTCTCTTTCTTCAGGGTGTGGTTACCAAGTTGCCAGCTGTGCATGTGTGTGTGTGTGCGTATGTGTGCGTGTGAGTGTGTATTTGTTCTTGAAGCTGTTTTTGAACATGGTTAGAGGCGCCTTTGTTTTCACCAGCATTCTGGACTCATTTGAAATTCTTGGGCTTGCCATTTCTGCCCAAATTGAACTTTGTGGTACTTAAGATTATTTCATCTTGGCAAAGCAGGCCTTCCTAGGTTGTCCCCCTCCCTGCTCCTCTCTCTCTTTCACTTGGACTTTTTTTAAAGGGGCCGAACTGCCTGAGTGTCTGGGAGGAGGGGAGGGGTAGCGAGCTTCGAGACAGATTGGACAGCAAGCAGCTCTTACACGACACAACTTTTTGATTATTTAAGTGTAAGCGAGGCAGAAACATATGGATTCTATTTCACATAACTCAGAGACAGTTCTTACGGGGAAAGAAAAGCAAGGGAGAATGTGCTCGCAGGATGTGTTCTGTTTGGGTGAACCCGAGACATCTGAAGAATACTTGGAGGCTGGTGAACCTGAAATATTTACACGTCCCATTTATATCACTGGGGGGAAAGCCTGTGATTTACAGTGATGGCTAAAGTGCTCACACGTGTTGAGTGGAAAACCAGAGAGCGACTGCTTCAACATAGACCTGCTGCTTCTGCCCCAGCCCCAAACATTCCACCCAAGGGCTGTTCAGCACCAGCGGAGAAAGCTGGGCTGCCTTGCTGTTGCTCCACGCAGCCTCATACAAACACCCAGCTAGTCACCACAGACTGTGCGATGCCTGAGCACGCTTATGGCAATGTGGGGTGATACCGCGTCCACACATACCCCAGATCTGACCCGTGGCAAATACCCTGCTGCAAGAAATTCTGGCCCATTTCCCTCTCATAAACCACAGCTGGTGTGCCTTCCCAAGCCTTTTTCATTAAAAGAATAAATCAAGATGATTTTTATAGTGTGGGAGAAATGCTTCCTTCTCCTCATTGGTATTTTTGATGATCGTCATCTATCCTTAATGATGAAAGCTTGTATTTTACCCCCAAAAGTTATTGATAATTCTCTTATGTGTTTTTTTTTAAATTGGCAGGAGCTATATTCTGCCTGCAAGGATTCACCCTGCCCCCTCTCCCCTCCGTGGTTGTAGTAAGATGTAAAGAGAATGTTTGTGAGGTCTGGCGAAATAGTTCTGCTGGATGCCTTGCTCTAGGCCACAAAGTTATGTTCTTCCTATCCCCCATCTCCCTCTCTCTCCTTCCTCTCTCTCCTTCTCCCTCTCCCTCTCCCCTTCCTCCTCTCTCACCCTTACCCTCCTCTTCCTTTTCCTCCCTCTTTCTCCTCTTCTGAGATATGGTCTTGCTATGCAACCCAGAATGGCCTTGAATTCAGTTTGTAGCCTAGGCTGACCTCCAAGTCATAAACAGTGAGTGCCAGGCACCCCGCACCCATTATCTGAAATTCTATAACAACTCACAAGGTTTGACTGCAGTATACTTTGTTGATGGATAAAGACACTGGAGCTCCAGGGGCTTTGAGGGACTTGTCACTGACTGCAAGGTTAATTCAAAGGGAATCTCCAGTGATATGCTTTTCTCCCACCGAATGATTTATCATCGTCCACTCTGCCTTTTGGAAGGCCTTGCTGTCAGACTGCAAGTCTGAGTTATAAAGAAAAAAATGTTTTTAAGAGAACCAACACACACACACACACACACACACACACACACACACACACAAATAACCTTTGCATAGAGTTTGACAAACTACACCGAATTTGAAATATCTAAACTTAAAGCCTTGCAAATAGACATCCTATGATAGGTTAGAAAGGGGAAAAAAATCAACTTTAAATACAAACTTCTAAAAGGAAAAAAAGCATTTATCTCGTCCTATACCGCAGCCTGCGAGTCCTTACTCTAGAGCAGAGCTTCGCACTGCACTTTTGATATCAGTCCCACGTTTGTTGAGAATCCTCCTAATCATATTTTAGTGTTACAGGTTTACCTCTTTCCCGCTTATGTCCTATGACCCTTTCCTGGACCACAAACCGCTGGAATAGCATTGCCTCCCACAGAGACAGTTTTTGTTGCTCCTGCAGGGAATGCATGGCAGATGCCACACAGGCAAAGACCAGATGGTGATGACCTGGTGCTTAAGGTGATGGACGGAAAAGTGATCAAGAGATCACAAAAACTGCTAGCCCTTTCAAAATTGCCCAGAGTGGTACAGAATATTTTCCTTTATCTGTGTTCAAGAGAAAAGTAGACTTATTTGAAAAGGAGTAAATGTACTATACTTTCTATACTTTTGTGCAGATTCCTTTAGAGATGAACTTAAATCAAAAAGGACATCTGAATGATGTCTATACCTAGTCTATATATCCTGCTGTCTTTGGCCAAAGGAAATTATTGGTTTGGCTTTTTAAATCAATGAGACATATAAACAGGTAACTTTAAGTTACTTGTTTAGGTAACTGAGACCCAAGTCAAGTCCTAATAACAACAGCAAAAACTAGTGAAGAATATCAAATATCAAACTATCTTGCTTTATGTTTAACATAATAAAAACTTTGCTAAGGCAGACAGAAAGATTGGTTTGTGTTTTTTTCTTTTTAAAGATTCATCACTTTAATAAGAGTATATGATTATTGTTTAAGAGTCTGTTTTGTGTTTTTTCTGTTTTGTTTTGTTGTTGTTTTTTAGAGTATGTGCTGCCAGAGGTCCACCTTCAACCAGGAGCTCTGTTCTGAGGTCTGTGGTGTGGCTAGAAACCATGTGGATGCCCTCGGACCCTAAAGAGCAAATAAGCTACTTTGGCAGTGTTATTGATGGCTGCAGATGCACAGTTAAGAAAGAGGGACGTGGAAGATTTCTGTGATAACCCCTACCTCCACCCAACCCTCCCCCAGAATAATAGCCTAGACAGGAAGCCATAGAAGGGGACTCTTAAAAACTGTGATATGAGGCTGAAATGTCGCTCGCCATAATAGACGACTTCCAGCAGAGGTGTAAAAGGGGAAGAACTTAGTTCTATGGGGGGAGGGGGGCAGACCACTGGGAGTTCGGCCATGGTGCAGTGAGTATATAGATATCACAAATTGAACTTTTTTTCCTTGTTGTTATTGCAAGGGAGGTCACGGGGGTGTGCAAAGAAGGACTGAGAAGCAAATGTGAATAAAAATATCATGTTGAAAAAAGATTTTGCTTTTTATTTAATTAGTTATTACACACTCTCTTTTATGTAGGTGTTATTTATCATATATCCACATATAACTTTGCTTATATTACCCCATTACCTTCTTTAGCCCCTACCCATCACTGAACTTGTCACTTCTGTGTGCTTCTGAGTGTGTGACCAACTGCATTCATTTAGTTATACTTGCTCACATGAACATGGTGGGTTACTCACTTAAGCAAGGGAAATTGACCACTAACCCCTGGCTATACCCCTCAGGAATGATTTCTCCTCTCCCAGCAACCTTTAAGTGCCTATACTTCCCCAAGGAAGGGTGCGATCTCATGAGCCCCTCCCATCTGTGACTGAATGTCAATGGGCTCAGTCTCGGGCAGGTAACCGCTGTGAGTTCTCGGGTGTGACAGTCATATCTGCAAGCAAGCATTTCATGGCACTCCACCCGTCCCCCAGCTCTTACGCTTTGTCTCCCCCCTCTTCTGTGGCATTCCCTGATCACTGAGAAGGGTAATATAGCTGTTCCTTTTAAGGCTGAGCACTCACTCAACAGTCACTTAATCTCAGCATTTTGACCAGTTATCCTTTGTAAAATGAAAAATCAAGCTGACCCTGAGTTGTAAGCATCCTTCCTTCTGCCTAGCTTTCACGGTGCCTAAGGGTGCTAAGAAGCCTACACAACTAAATTTGCCAGACACTTTAGGCACAAACTCCTCAGACTTGTGTTGAGAGCAGCAGTAGTCTATGTGACAAACATTTAGAAATCATTTTGACACTATGCGCATTTAGCAAAACAACAGTGGTAACTTCCCCTCTAGGGTCTATAAATTCTGTTGCTAGGGGCTTTTGATCAAGCTTCCCATGGACACCATGAATTCCCTCCTATGGAAGGGACATCAGATCCAGTAAGAATGTATGTGGTTACTTCCATAATAGTCATGACATTATTGCACCAGGGTGCATCTTGCCTGTTGGTTGGTGTTGTAGCTCAGAGATGGATGACATTTCTCCTTCACAAGCCCGAATAGTAGCTTTAGACACTGTGAAATCTAGCCAGCAGGAAGGAAGCTTACAGCTCAATTCTAGCTTGATGTTTCTATGACGTGTAATGGAAGTGTGTGATGTCTTCAGCAACAGGTTCCTATCTAGTTCTAGTGGATAATTAAGAGTAATGGCAATAGCGTCACTGTTTTGGGAGCTAGAGATTCCTGACCCACAACTCAAAAGGAGGTTACCCGCGGTAGGAATTCCTACAACTGGCCTTTAAGTTACCTGCCCACTTGGGCGTGACCTCTTTTTTTTATGTAAAAGCAAAGAGCCTTTATTTTAAGCAAGTTTGCAAACTTGGTCTCCCCACATGTCCAATATATTAGAATAAACGGAGAGCCCTGAGCTCAGTTAGAATTGGGTCTTTATAGTAGTAAAGGTGGGGATAAAGGATTTCTGAGGTTTAGGATCCCTAATTGGCTGACATTTGTCTAGGGATGTCCCAGTGAGTGTGTTCTGGCAGGTGGTCCTATCTACATTTGGACCTACATTTCAACCTAACATTGGTTGAAATGTTAGGCATTTCCTTTGGATGATCTGTTTTTGAGTGGTGCTTGGATAATCTCAGTTTGTGGTTCTTCCTGCAGTCAGGTATTGCTTCAGGGTAAACTACTGAAACTCAGGCTATATATGCCAATGTAAAGTGTGAGTCTGGCCTCTATTCCAGGGGCATGATTCGGTTTATTGAGGCAGAAGCTAGGTGCCTCAATAAATCACTAGAAATATATACCAGGTGAGGAGATTCATACTTTACAAAAGACAGTAGTAAAAAGATTTGAACTGATTGAGGAAATTATTAGAACTGATGAGCAGGGAAAGAAGGTACAAGGACAGGACTTAACATCAACAGTAGCTGTCAGAGACGGCTTACCCAAGGTTTTACCCTCCTACCAGTTAATCTACTCTGACAAAGCATCAAGTTCTACAGGCTCAAAAGGATCCAAAGAAGGTAGGTGGATACCTGTAGGAATGAATGCTCTAAAAGAAATTAATAAACTGTAGTAATTTGTGGCTTGCATTCCACATTTGTTAGGGAGATGGTAACAACATGGGCTTCTAGCATCAAAGCCACACTACACAACTGGCTTCAGTTAGTTTCAGCAGTCCTGGTTGATGGGCCTCAACTGATGTTTAAATGCTATTTCAGAGAAGAGGCTGAAATTTTAGAACAACAGGGAAAATCAAAAGGACTTGAGACTTCCCAAGATCAAATTCTTAGTGAGGGCACTTATGCTGACCCACAGGCTCAAGCCGTTTCCAATGAACAAATCTTGTCCCTATGACACAAAGCACCCTTAAATGCTTGAGACAGGATTTAAGAACTAGGAAACTAATTGAATTATATACCAGGGCTAAACAGGGCCAGAGAGAACTCTTTAGTGACTTTTTACAAAGATGAACTAAGTCTGTACAAATTTTGGAAGCTGCTTGATTGCTCTTCTTACTTACTCAAGTCATATTATTTCCCTTCTCGGGTCTTTGATGGTATTGAAGACTAGATAGTTGCAGTTACTTTTCTCTCATGACTTGGCCAAGTTATTTATAATACAAGACTTAAAACTCCTTAGGATAGGATAATTATTGAGATATTTATCACATGTTTCTTGCTTGATATTTTAATTCTTATTTTTATACCTGATATTTATTCTTATTGTATATAATTATGTATCAGTCTTAAAACTCTCTTATTTAAACAAAAGGTGGAAGTTATGTAGGAAATCTTACAACCAGTAGCCTTTAAGTTACCTACCCACTTTGGCGTGGCCTCTTATACTATAAGTGCCCATGTGAAACATGGGTCCAGCCTCTTTTCTGGTGGTGTGATTCGGTTCCTGTACCCCATTCATGCAAAGGATTGTGATCTGTGAGTTTACCCCTAAATAAATAACCCTTTATTATACTCAATTCTGAACTAGTGTGGGATTTCTTGTTAGCGTCCTTCTTCAGTAATCCATACCAAGGACCAGAAATTTCATTTAAAAATAGATTTTTCACCCAGGCAGGATACTTCCCTTCACAATCCAGTTTTCACATTCTACTTTTTAATATAGGTCGTTATTAATTTTGAGAATTTCCTGCATGTTTTTGATCATATTTACCCTTTTCCCATTGTCTCCAAAATCTACCCCTGTGATCCATATGCATCTGACTTTATATCCAAACTTTATTTTTAATTTCTTTTGATTCTCTTACACAACAGTAGATTTCCATATGGTTTTTTCATATAGCCTTAGTTTCAGTTAACTCGCCAAACCTGTCTTCACATCCCCAACCAACTTATTTCCATGTTCACTTAAGCCTTTCTCTCACCTTATATAGAAGAATTGACCCTTTCTTTCTAATGGCAGAGGGATATTTCTTCAGTATTATACTTAGTGATAATGGCGTGCTTTGTATATATTGCATTATAAATCCTACTGTTTCAAGGAACAACTGTTCTAGGTTTTCAATGTTTGCTTTGAGTCCGAGCAGTCCTGGTTTTCCTGATAATTTTCTACTCAGTTTACCCAGCTCTTTTTCAACTGCCTTAAATCACAACCAAGCACAAGACTCATACAAAATGGGTGCTTATATTTGCTCCCTCAACCAAATGCATACTTTCTACTACCATTTTTTAAGGTACAAATAGCTGGTTGAAGATGACAAGAGATATAAAATGTTAACGTTGGGTCGGTACTCAAATTTCCCGTGGGTATAATATTGACTTTCTGAAATAAGTTGCCTCTCTTCAGACATTTGGCCTGTCTGAATCATTATGACTTATAAACAAGGGAGGTTCAATATATAATTATTCATGAGTTTATTTCACAAAGATTTCACAAAGATTTCATCGGTGCTCAAGGCTGATGACAATGTAATATCTTGACTTTTCATTTGTATATTACAGACATTTAATATGGACATTTGCATTTCTTCTGTTTTTTTTAAGCGAAGAAAAGTGGTAAGAAGGGGAAAGTGTAGAATAAGGGTTCAATCTGTAACTGACTGTGAACAATCAATTGAGAGAGCTCACTCCCTGTAGGCCAGTGAGACATTTCAGTGTCTTCATTAAAGGCAGAAGGTTAGTTATTAAAAGATTCCATCTTGTGTTCATTTTCCCTTCATTCTCTGAGAAAGAATGTTTCACCTCTCTGGCATTTTATTTTCGACATTTATCTCCTTCTCTGTAGCACTTTCAATTTCTCTTACTCTGTGGCTGCCTCCTCTTCACTGGATTCAGATGTCTCCTCTTGAGAAGAAATCTTCACCAGAGCAGCATCTCTGCCTTCAGTGACATTGCTAGTGTTTTTAAGCACCGACTTTTAAATGGTTTTGTTCATTTATCATCAATCATTTAATATATTAAAGGTTTTTGGCTGTTTCTGGAATTATGGCTTTTTAATGCTCATACAACGTAATACTTTATTTTGAATTTCAGAGACATTTGCTGTGCTGTATTACTTATTAAACTTTTCATTATTAAATAAAAGCCTCTGTAATGAACACAGTCTCCCACTGCCTTCTTAAGAAAGATTGGTCTGAGCCCCTGTATCTCAGTCTTCATGTACTTTCTTTCATTTTTATCCATCTCTCTCCTACCGTATAGTTTTTATTCCTGTCTCATACTGAAATGTTCTCTTAAGCCTCACCAGTGATCTGCAGTCACTCCACTTGTGAGTCTTTCCTATCCCTGCCCCATAGCAAGTTTAAGACTCTTCATAGAATCACCACCCCTTTACCCATTAAAAATAAATGTTCTTTCCGCTCCAGTGCATGGGGCTGGGATGAGTCAAAATTCCTCAGGTTCAACTCAATACTGATGAGAAGTAAGGAATCTAAACCCTAGCTCTCAGTCATAGTTCC